AAAATGGGACGAATATTCCACAATTAATTTTCATGACAGTAAGTAATGAGTTCTTGACAATAGGTACCGGGCAAAATCACTTGTGGCTACAGAATTACATTATGTGTGACTACAACATCTTATTCTAGCGACAATAACAATATGTGACAACAACAAAGAATCATAAGTGACTATAACATTATTATGACAATAACATTATTATGACAATAACATTAGTGACTAAATATGGAAATGCAATTATAGAACCTATTCTTCACTACACTATCAATTTATAATTACGAGAGCAATGTATGCAACACAAAAATAGATTTTATCGACAAGACTTAATGTGACTAAAAGTTTAGATCTAGTGGTGATTATGATAATCGTCACTAATACTTTTATATCTATATTTATAGCCACGATCTAGTAACAATTTATATTGTTATCTCAAATTATATTGTGACGAGATTAAAACATATAGCAATAAATATTACCGCAAATAATAATGATTACTCTCGTTGTGTTTATTACAGTTTTGCCTAATATTTTAGTCTTGCCTCAAGTGGGTAATAAATTTGTCCCCCAAAACAACCTTTGTTAAATTGTTAAATTACATATATGTCCCCAAGAATCATTTTTTCTCCCGAAAATATTCTCGGTATCCCTCGTTCTTACCAATTCAACCTAAGGTCCCCCTCTTCTCCATAACATCGCCCTCGACTATCTAAGCTCATACTTCTTTTTTCCTTCTTCCCTTCCAATCTATTGGTAACACTGTTCCTCTCTAACGAGCAATTTACAACCATCGATCTCTTCTTCATAAGTTCAAATATAATAAATTTTCTGAATCTTTAAGAGCGGCGACTTCTGTCGTTGTAAATGTGAAATCTTTAAGAGTAAATGGTTGTTATAATGACGATGATTGTTATGGCGAAGAAGAGATTGTAAATGAGCCCTAAAAGGACAAATACTAAGGGAAAATCTATAATTTAGGAACCATTTTTGCAATTAGACTAAAATCTTAGGACTCGCTTCGCAACTACCTAGAAAATACTAATGATTTTCCTTCATCGGCATCCACAAAAGCAATTACTCACAACCCTCCCAAATGATTATCAATTCAAAACTAAAATAATGAAGTTATAAGAATGAAAATACTACGATACATCACTTGCAAAAGAAGAGGTGTCTATTAGAGGGAGGCAATTTATGATATCAATCGAAAAGCTATAAAATCCAGACATATAAATCAAAGAATATGCTCAAACTACAATTATGTCTTGAAACAACTAACCAAACTGTAGAAGTAAAAATATAAAGTTGAATTTAAGAAAAACAAAAAGTCTCGCCGCCCTGGTTAGTCGAAAATTGATTACATATAAAAATCCTACAGTTAAAATCTATCTGTGAAAAATACACTAATTTGAAAGACCAAAGAAAAGAAAAAAAAAAAACAACTGACTCACTGAAAATCAATGTTGTCCTCGCAGAATATGCATAACATTGAGGAACCTCAGGCAGCAGAATTGTCGACCGGCCCATTAGGCCTGGGCCCACGGCCTCTCCCACGAGTCCCCCTTCCACGTCCACGGCCTGCAAAACAAAGAGTAAGAGTCAAAGAAGAAACCCAAAGGGCACATTGTTAGGAAACAGACCATTACCCAAAAGGCAGTTCTTAACATCAAGTTAACACTATAATTCATGCTGACTAGCAAAAACTGAATGAAATCAAGATCAGCTCAAAAATCTATCAACCATACTGCTGGTTTCTTATGCAAAGAAACAAATAAGCTGCCATTTTTCAAAATGCGAACTTCCGATTCGAATTATAGTCTGCTCAGTTCATTTAAGTTAAGGCGTGAAATTTGAGTCCTTTGAATTTGACTTCTGATAAGAACTCAGACAAATACCCCTCGGTTCCTCTCCAAAAAGAGAAAAAAATAAAAAATAAAAAAAACAACAAATCACCTTAATTTAATAATATCTAAAATAATAAAGCTAAATGGGTGCTTAATTTAAGAATATCTGAATAATAAAGCTAAATGGGTGCTGAAAACTACGCAAAAATGCATTTTTAGTCTTGTTGGTTTTACACCATAACATTTTTGGTCCCAAAGTTCCAACTTTTTGCCGTTTGATCTTATGATTTAATATTTGCAACAAAATTTTAAACAACAGGATTGAAATTGCGACAAAATTCTTAATTATAGGACTTAAATTGCTAATTAAAAATCTATAAATTTGAAAATTTTTGTTGCAATTTCAGCAACAAAATATTAAATCACAAGACCAAAAAAGGCAAAATGTTAGAATCTTGAGACTAAATATGCTACGGCGGTAAAACTAGCAGTACTAAAAATGCAATTTAGCCTGACAACTATTATGCCAAAAAACATAAGTAAACGACTTTTTGAAGAAACGGCTCATCCGGACGAGTAAAAAGACCTAGGGGTACATCAGGAAGTTATATTATACACACGAGCTGATTACCTCTAGGTGCATGTTGATTGTACCCTTCGGTACTATCAGGCTGAACATCAAACCGGGGGCCACCATAGTATCCACCACGACCACGGCCACGGCCATGCGGATTGCGGCCTCTGCCTCGTCCCCTTCCCCTCCGCTCATAGCCTCCATCTTCGAACTCACCAGACGAAACTCCATTTCCTATAATGAAGAAAAAAAAAAGGACGCAAATTCATGTTCATGTTTGCTCAAGAAAATCTAGCACAGTTTACATTTAAGTAGTTTGAATTGGAAAGAAGGATATTTGCATACCAGAAGGAGGCCTAGGCCTACCACCCCTTCCCCTGCCGCCTCGACCTCTTCCTCGAGCAACGGGTGAACCCTCTGACAGATTGGAATAAATAAAAGTCAAATCATGTCTTGCACGAATATATGAAGAAAATGGATAATAAATAATAAACAAACATGAAACCACCTCCATCGTAGTCGGGTTCGGTGGGCACCTTCACTTGGTCGGCTGGTATCGGAGGTTGGTACCTGTGTCACATGACAGCCAAATAAAAAAATAATAATAATTTATAATAAATTAGAGGATAGTATAGAACATGACACGCTCCATATCCACATGTCAAGCACAGTACAACACAAGAAATTTGCCAAGTAAAAGATATTGCCGGTATTTTTGTGATTGCCACAGAAAAAGATTTGTACTCCGTAAACAGATAACATACGGACAACTCACCCAATGTTTGTCTTATCCAAATCCTTTTTTGAGAGAGTAATTGTGACCGTTGAAACTTTCCTCGTTGTTTCCAAACTGTTACAACAGACAAGAAATGACACAAGGGTCATTAACATTTGCCACAATAATATAAATTCAAGACAGAATTTCATCTTAATTTTTCAGTCTGAATGTCCTTACGTTTGGAGGCCTTCCTCCAGAGGTTCCCATGTATCAGTTATATCAGTAGATTGGATTGCTGTAATTTGGTGAAGACCAACAATTCTCCTCTTCAAATGATGAAAAATACACATATCAGATCTTCAGATACTCTAGCTATAAGTTAGAAATCAGTACTGAGGGGAAAAAGTTATACAAATATATAAAGAAGAAGGAAACCTTGATTAACTCCACAATTGTTACAGTCTTGTTGATGGCTCGGCCCATTGCCTTGAATACTATTTCATCTGAACCCTTTTCCTACAATATCACATGACGAAGATACCAAATGTTTTATATATTTATTGCGCAGAAATAATTGTTTCGGTTACATCCTTTCCTTATTAACAATTAAAATTAAATAGGGGGATGGGATTATACTTTTGCCCATAGTTTCAGAATCAGAACCCAACACTCCAACAGCACATATAGTTCTAAACATTTCAATAACAAAAACCATACCACAAATTCCAGAAAAAAGTTCCAACGAGACCGAAACCAAAGTACCACGACACCACATACCACAATAGAGAAAAATAATTTAAATCAAAACAGTACCGCTCAAACCATAATACTCCTCACAAATAATATGCAAAAAGGCAGTTCGTATTCAACCAGCATACTATTTTCACAAACATGCATTGTTTTCATAAAATATGCATATTTTCATTAGAATTTGTGTACGCAGAATATAAACATAAAATTACCTGAAGCAGAGTCATGGCATAAGTGATGTAGCTCCGCATCCTGCCTTGGCTTGTAATCCGAATCTCGTTCGCACCAATCTGCGAGTCAGCCCTCGGCTTCTCCACCTTCTGGTACCGATCCATGCTCGATAGAAATTCTTTAAGCAAACAAATTAAATCGGTTAAACGAGAAAGGGAAAAGCTTAAACACCACAGATGGTCAGCAGATCCGCCATTGACGGATTTGAAAAGCAGATGAATAATTAAATTACGATGCAAAGTTTTTGTCACCTGAGGCGCGTTGGGAAAGATAAGGTTACGGCTCCGAATTCGTTTGTTTCTTTCAGTTACGGCTCTGATAGGTTGAAGCAACTCCAAGAATGTGTATATATATATAAACCCGTTTGGACCAATAACAAAAGCGGTGCCCTAGTTCTTTTTGCAACCAGGTCGTTTTGTTTTTAAAAGGAGAGTACAAATCATTCCAAAAAACAAGGTCATTTTTGTGGAATTGAACATAACACTAACTTTTCTAATGTTAGCAACTAGTAATTCTAATAAACACAAAACAAGGTCAAGATTTTATTAGTAATTGCATCTCATAAATATCCATAACGAGAATTCAACTATCTCATGCCGTAATGAACCAAAAATCAAAATATAATATTAAATGTGCTATGTTATTTGATTTTATGTCATTTCAGTCGTAAAGTATTGAAATGTTTTGATAATATCTAATAATATATAACTATAATTGTATATTTAATAATAACATATAGCTCTAGCTATATTATTGTTCTCGTGGTTTTCTTACTTTTATTCTATCTTATAGTCTAGATCATCTAAAAATAAAACTGACTAATTATTTTCAAAAATCATATATGTTGTAACACAACTTGTTTCGGGTTGACCCATCTACTATCTAGGCCCAACTTGCCCCTGTCTTTAATTGGGCTTACACCAGCTCCAGCCCAAAGTCTTATATGGAAAACCAGGTAGTATACGTTGGCCCTTTGATGTTGCGCTGATCCGTCCCAACTTAAATGTCAATTCGTCAATCGATTCTAAATGTCAACTCTCTATCTAATGTGAACAAGAACCAGGAAAGCGGTCGCCCAATCAATCCCGTCATAAAAAATTGCACCTTGCATGAAGACACGTATCAGGTTTCTATGCTCTTACTTGGCAAACAACAATCATTGTCTTTTCAATTTATTTGTGTATATATTCCGCATTAACTGTATTCAAAAGACACACATTGAAGAATATACAAACAATAACACACTTCTTTTTTCTATTACTATTAACTATTAAGTGTCGATCTATTGTCTATAAGGCGATCTCTTACACTAAGCAAAATTACTCGTTATATACGTAAAACTAGTTTGGTAATATTCAATTATCAACAATATATATTTCATTAGATGTTTGAATTTTTGTTTCACATTATCACATACATAATATCCTTAACTAAATTGCGATTCATTTATATTTTTACAAGGCTGATTTCAAACGAATTTTTAATAAAGTTCACAGTTACATAAAAGTTTACAGTTTAAAAGTTACATCGATATTTCATTATAACTAGATATTATTTTTAAAAATGGATTCAGATTAATAACTTTATTGTTTTTTAATAATAACTTAATAAAAAAATCTCCATAATCAATGCGAATCGTGCTCATTTAAACCGTTGCAGTAGTCCTGAATTTTCGTATTAAATCAAACCATCCCAATTTCTAGTATAATTCTGGAGATTAAATTAAAATAATCTACTATTTTTTATTTAGTTTTGGAGATATTTAAATCTCCAGACCATAGTTTTTAAACCCGGCCCGGGAATCGACCCGGGCAGGTCTCCGAGTCACCGGGTCACCGGTTCAACCGCCGGGTCACCGGGTCAATTGCTGAACCGGATAATTAATTTTAAATTTTTTTAAATTATATATAGAGTATTTTGTCTTATAAATATACATAAAAATAACAAAATTAAATATTTTGTATATAAAATTTGCACATTAAAGTGCTAATAATATGTATTTCATGATAAATATTGACCATATAAATATATATAAATAGTTTTATTTTTTAAAAACAAAAAATATATTAAAAAATAAAAAATATAATAAAAAAAATATATAGGACCGGGTCAACCGGGTTGACCCAGCCGGGTCAATGCCCCGGGTCGACCGGGTCAATGCCGGGTTGACCGGGTTTTGACCGGGTTTGACCGGGTCCGTTGTTTCCCGGTCCGAATAGCCCATCCGGACCGGTTCCAGCTCCGGGTCGACCGGGTCCCGGGTCGACCGGGTCCCGGGTCGACCCGCCGGGCCGGTCCGGGTTGAAAAACAGTGCTCCAGACCCATGTTCTCGCTTTATAAAGCTACTTTTGAGTGATCATTTCACTATTTGCTCCATATGTGTTGTCCTCAAGGACAGAAATAATTGCATAAAAAACATCCTGCCATTGAAAGATTTTCTCATGATAGTACAACAATTTACAGATACACTATGAGCTCAAAACTGATGTTCTCAAAAAAAAAAAAAAGGCTTCTCAATCGTCTATTCTTTATCCTGAACATTTCGTATGAAGCATGTATTGTATTGGACTATTGGGTGTTGCCGCAACATTTATTTCAAGAAATGAAATTCCCTCATGCGAACGCCATCCTTGAAATTCTCAAATGCACGAATGCTGTTAACAGTCACAAATTAGTTGAAACTAGACAATAGAATCTTCACTTTCTTATCACCTGCTCAAAAGAAAAGGAAGGAAAATCACAATCCTTCCCTCAATGAAGGTGGGGGAAATGCAGAGCATTCATTTAAATTAATTCGCAATGACAAAGAAAAAGGCCACAAGACAAGAAGTAATGCATTTCCTGAATGTATTCCGAATTTTTAAAATCTTACCTTGAGATATTCCTAGACTTTATATTCACCAACATGCATCCACTTCGTTGATGACCATTTGTTCCCTTTGATAACTGGGCAACCACCTGGAATGAAGTTTTAGAATTCATGGTCAACCCAAATTCAAATGACCAAAAGAAAGTAGGCACGAAAACATTCCTTAAATGTAATAAGGTTATGTATAATTCCTTGCATAGGAAAATTACAAAAACAAAATCACCGGATTGCACCTTGAGAGGAGTACATTATTGTATCTATACTTATATAATAAGAATTAACATTTATCCAAAATAGTAGGTCAAATTATAGTCAATATCGGATTTGCATTAAATATTTTCCAAAACCGGTAAGTTTTTGTCCTTTTCACACTTCTCATTAATTATGTCTTTTTCACACATCTAATTAATTCATTAATTACGACATAATTATCATAAATCATTCCATCTGAGCTTTTATCGTTAAAATGTATAACAATCTGTTATGACCTTATCCCATTGACATTTCCATGAAGCGTCCTTATCGCGTTCTATTTTTTGGTAACCACTCTATATCAATAACTGGATATTTGGTTAATGATAGCGCACGTCTTTATTTCAAGGAGCGGATATTCTTTGACCTTTAATTAATCTGAACTGATTGCCTTGACTTTTCAATTTTTAAAAACTTTTTTTTTTTTAAATATTTCGGCTTAAGATTCGGATTTCATTATACAAGTCATCGGATTGTTTGAATAAAAATGAATGAAAAGAACACCAAAAACAGGTAGCCTTATTCATATAACCAATCCTAAAATATTAGTTTGTTCACCAAAAAGAGACAAATCCTAGAAATCCTAAAATATTAATTTGTTCACCAATCCTAAAATATTAGTTTGTTCACTAAAAATATTAGTTTGATTTTTAGGATTTGTCTCTTTTGAAAATATTAGTTTGTGATAATGAGGAGTTACCAAATAATCAAACTCATAATGTTGTGTACAAGGAGGTTTTTAATAATATATGATTGTTACCGAACTTTTTATGATTTAAGAATGTTCCTATGTATTTTAATGATTTCAATTTCGATCCTAATGCACGTGAGGTTATATTATTCTTCCAAATTTTACATCTCGTGCGATGCACGGGTTACGTACTAGTTAGAATATTAATATACATTACGTCTATTTTTTTCCCTTAATGTGACTGTCTTATTTTCTTCTCCCCGGGTTCCGATAATTCAGACAGGAAATTTAAATTGACGAAAATCACATACAGAACAAAAACCGAGACTCACCATGCAAGCTTGTTGGATCCAGAGTAGCATCTGGCCTCATGCTCCAGAAAAGTAATGCATCACCCATTTTGGGTTTTACGGATAGGCCCCTTTTAGCACACTCAGATTTCTCGTTCCACCCTGGCGTGGAGTTAAAACTGCCCTTGGCAGCGGGAAAAACTGTCTCACCCCCTTCTTCAACATCTGACCTGCATTGAATGAATGCCTTACTCAAATATAGTATCCAAAAAATTTTAGATACTCGGGGAGCATTAAAAAAAATATGGGGTGCTACTTACAAGTACATCAGTAAAGTGGCTATGCGTTGACCCCCGTTTTTTGTGTTGAATTCGTCAAGAAAATAGTCAAAATGGGGCTCGTACTTTTGTCCCTCTTCATAGTGAAGAATTTGAAGACCTTCTCCATGCTCTGTTGTTATAGTGAAAACATAATAAGGCTGTTGTTACTTTAGAATAATATAAAATATACAGGTGGGGGTTGGGGAAGGAAGAAAGCGAAAAACGAAAATATATTACGAAGATATCACATGTGGGAGTGGAAGTTTGTTTTATCAAAAGTTGACAGACAAAGCAAGAAAAACGAAGGCTGACTATTTTGGAATGTGAAAGAAAGAAACGAATCTGATCTCGTTCCAATTTTTAAATTTCAACTCTCAACTCAACTCAGAAATTAGAAATTACAAAAGTTGAAAGCCAAAGAAAGAACAAAAGCTGATTGAATGAAAGAATCGAGTCACATATCATTTCCAATTTTTGACGCAAATTTCAACTCCCAGAACATAGAAATTCAGATATTACTACCAGACTGTAAGTTTTATGTCTGAATTTTATGAATTACGGCAATTATAACAATCGGTCAATTAACAGTGACACAAGACCTGCCTCATGCATGACAAATCACACAGTGCAGATTCCTATATATGCAATTAAATTCACATGCCTGCAGGTATGAAGGTAAAGTCCGCGATTCGTTTTTCAATATCTCTGATGACTTTATCTCGCCCTCTCCTCAAGAACATTCCAGAACTCGTGCGAACTCTGAAATGTGATCTTGCGTCATTATAAGTAAAAAAACATGGGATAAATGAAATTTAAGCTCCAGAGCCAATTATAATGCATTGTGATGGAACACAAAACACTGACAAAAAATAATGAAAAATGTTTAGAGGAATCAACCTGCTATCCTTGCTCTTGCCGGTCTTGCTATCAACCACTGTAGATTTCACCATGTGAGGTTTGGCAAGATTTATCAGATACTCACATTCTTCCTTAGACTGCCAGCAAAAAGTAGTCAGTTACAGATAGCTTTATCCCAAATAAGTGAGTTTAATCAGAAAATAGCAGTATTAGAAACCTTTACATCTTGTGGCATCAAAATAAATATATCAAGTTAGAACTTAGAACTAAATTTAAGTATTACCAATTCAAGCTCTTAATTCATCCTTCTCAGAACCAAAGTTTCTTAGAGTAATAAGAGAAACCCAGAAGCAGTTAACACTTAACGCTTATTGTGAATAAATCATAAAAAAAAAAGTTACAAATAAAAATAAAAAAAGTGCAGATTTTCAGAAAACCATGACAAGCTCGCTATCTCAGATTCTCATGCTATCTTCTATCCAGCTTAAACAATCAATGGGATAAATACTGCAGTTAGGGGCTGACTTACACACAGGATCATAAGAAATCATGTCTGTGCCTAAAATTTGAGATTGCTTTAGCAATCTTGCTTGCTTTTCAATGAATAAAAATAAATGGGAAAAGTGGGGAGTCGGATAAATTGCTCTGACTAATATCAATGTCCAGGACACCTCACTTTTTAGTAAACAAACTAGACAATCAGTCACAATTCAATCTATTCCACTTAAAAATGAAATGGAATGATCCACAAAATGGACCAACATTCAGCACCGAGATTTATCTGAAACCCAAAGCATCAAAAGAAAGTCTAACAGTTTCAGCTCTCATTCGTATTTTCCACAGCAATACCAAATAAAACAACAAAACTCCTTGCAACCAAATAAACTGAACAAAAACACGGAGAAACATACATTCCTAACCGGAACTCATTCTAATCCACATTTAGAACCCTTAAAACCACAATAGAAAAAGTTATAACCAGATTCCAAATAAGTTTAACAAAACTCACCAAAAAGTTATGATACAAGAAAGCCCTAGGCTCCCACGATAGAATCTCCGTCCACTGCTCCCCTCTTTTCCCCAATCCTTTCCATTCACTCTTGCTGCTACACAGTAAGAACGAATGCTATATTTAATCCGCGATATATCAACAAAAATGATTTAAGAAAACTAAAAGGTAAACATTTTACATCTCCAATTTGAATCGCTTCAGTTTGATTCGATCGGCGACGGGCAAAGAGCCCTCTTCGGCGCCAATCGGAAGAGAGAGGATCCCGAGGCCGAGGAGCATCAAGAGCACTACCGACAGCATTAATAGCATCGAAAGCACCAAAACCATCGTAGAGGATCTCTTTCCTTGATGCCGATTTCCCCTACCCCTCGCCATTTTCGTTATTCAGTGAATTAGAATATAAATCAATCAAAAACCCTAACGAATGATGAGAATATAAATAACAACAACTCGTGTGTTTTATTCCCTGAATTTGTCTGTGATTCAATGGGGAAGAAGAAAGTTGAAACGCAAGGATAGATTACAAAAGTGCCACTCGTCGGTTTGTACTTTTGCGGGTGTTTCAGGAGTTCTGTGTGCGGCAACTAAGGGGTAATTTTGGTACTTCGAAATCTTGTTCGTCTATTGTTCTTTCTTATTATTTCGGTGGGCAGCGAGCACCTGGGCTGAGATTCCTTGTGCACCGATGGTCAGCCGGTTTGACTTTTTTATTTTCTCATCGAGTTTTTTTATTGGAAAAACATAATAAAGATCTCCCCATATGATCTCTCTACCTACTTCCATGAGTATTTCAATTTTTTTCTTTTTTCCGAAACAAAAATTTCATTAACTAAAAATACATAAATACAACTGATCCACTAATTGGAATATAAGGACTACCCAAAACAGTCTATACACCACAACATGCACACTACAAGAAGAAATAAAAAAATATAATCAACTGAACATAGTGCTGTTAATTTCTCAAAAATTATTTAACAATTTTTGAAAGATAATAAAAATTTGAAATTAATTAAAAATAATATTTATGTACTATTTTATTGTTTTTAAAAGGGTTAATTGCCAAAAAAAACCACCACCTTTTGTTTAATTGCAAATAAAACTCAACTTTTTCAACTTTGCAAAAAAAATACAATTTTTTTTAAATATTGCAATTTTGTCTCAAAATTGAATTCCGACCAGGGCACGCTGAGTGTCCGATCGGAAAATTGACGTGGCACTCAAAATTTATTAGTCAGTGCACGTGTGTTTGAACCTCCACGTCACACCCCACGTCATCTATTCTTCCCCATTTTCCCAACGCATTCTCGAGAGAAA